ATTTGATGTCGAATCTCCTCATTTCTTTTTTTTGTAGTCTGGATATTTTCGCAGATCTTCTCAACACATCTTATCTACACATCGTTCTAACCATTTCTTCTTTTTCTCTGACAAAGTTACGTATTAGTGTAACATTAAGTTTAACTTTTGTATTATGATTTACATCTTGCACAAGCTATATACAGGGTGGCCCATTAGTGCAAGGTGGGGGTGGGGCCCAGTAGTGCAAGGTAAAGATATGAAAAAAAGTTTTATATAAATGTTGCATAGTCTATAAAGAGGCATATCCCAAAAATATTGTTGTATATGCAATATACTGGGTGCATCTCAAAAGTGGCTCACTCCTATAACTTTTTTATTTTTTTCACATAATAAAACGAGATTTGGTATGTTAGTATATATGAAACTAATTAGGATTGATTGACGTTTTCAATTGTTTTCAGTCACTTCCTGTTTCACCAGAAATTACTACAACTTTTGATTTTTAAATAGCACCCTCCATATTTTGTTTACTTTATTCGATAGAAAATGACACTCTGAATACAATGACATATCATATGTCAACTTATGACATTCTCGCTTAAAAAATCATATTTTAAATTTCAAGAGTGCCATGGCTGTGTTAAAATCACTAATTTTTAATCAAGGAGTCTTGGAAAAATAGATTTGATCATCTAATATTTTTCGTGTCTTGTCCTGGCCAGGTAAAATATACGCAAATCGTATTTTTAATCACATCTCAATTTTTCAAATGGAACGGGGGTAGCTCATTAGCATATTTGGAAACATATTTTTTACGAATAATTTGCTGCCACACACTTGACACTTGGTATTTCGAGTCAAATCGTCGTTACATTTATGGCCATGGCACTCTAAATTAAAATTCAAAATGCTATTTTTTTTTTAATTGAGAAAGTCAAAAGTTGACATAATATGCTATATCATTCTATTCATCATGTCATTTTCTATGAAATGAAGTATAAAAATACCAAGATGTCCTAAAAATCAAATGATGTTTCTATAGCATTCCTATTTCATTCTTTGATAGATTGTTATAGAAAGAATTTTAATTAACGTCATATTTTTGGCTGTTTTAAAATGTTAAAGAAGCAGAAAATTTATTTAGTTCAATGCCATGAAACAAATGATAATAGTTTTCGGAAAATGTCATAGTTTAACATCAACAAAAATATGACGTTAATAAAAATTAATAAGAACCATCTATCAGAGAATGAAATGAAAATAATATTACTGTAGAAACGCCTTTTGATTTTTAGGACTTCTTTTTTTAGAAAAATTCAACCATATTTTCATGTTTTTTTAAATTTTCTCTTAAACGGTATGGAAATTTGGAAAAGTATAAATCCCGTTTATTTTATATTACAACCTAACCATTTTAGAACAAGCAAATTTTTTTATGAAGAATGGATTTTCCATTAAATGTCAATAATAGAGAGTTTTTCCTCTTGTAAAGACAATCCGGGGACGTACTGTATATTAAGTATAGCCTACTTAAAAATAAATACAGCAAGAGTTTTAAAATTCTTTAATATTTTTTCCATTAATACAAATTTAGCTATATTTAATATGTAATAAAATGTGCAAATATTTTTTAAAATACTTAAATAAATTTTCAGTAATATATTTCACATTGCAATATTTACTTTAGTACATTTATTTTTGTGCAAATATTACCTATATAATATTAACTCCGAAACTCTCACTCTGTTCTATAATGTAAGGTTCCCCCTTTTCTCAAACACGCATATAACATGCCACTAAAGCTTAACTTAGAAAACCATCAAGTTCACTAATAGTATGGAAATTGGAAATCACACATACAGAATAGTAAGGGATGTTTCGAAGATACATAATAAACCAAAGCTAATCCTATAAAGCATAAAGTCAGTGGTTTGTTCCTATTAATATACTCGTAACGCTAATTAACGGTCTCTGTCAAACCATTCATTATTAACAGCGAAATATTAACTTATATAAAGATTAATTTAATAAAAAGTCTTACTTAATACGTATGATCATAAAATATAATGACCTAGCGAGTTTAGAATTAAACAAAAAAATTCTAATGTAATTTATAATAACAAGCGTGTTTTTTTTCCTGTCATCGTCCAAAGCATGTTTGATTGCAAAAAAGTAGACGCCGAAATAAATTTCTGTTGGATTTTTACCATGGTACAAAGAAAACAAGGTATGAGCATGGTACAAAGAATACAAGGTATGATCGATAGCGGCTCCAATTTCGTTCAGTTCGCGCATACCACCTGTGACGTCACTAGGAAAATAAGAATAAATAAAAAATAAAGAAAGTTGACAGGAGATCTGCATTTTTTGGGGTTATGGTTAAGAATTGTTTATTTTTAAGACTTTTTAGTTCGTTTAATTTAATAATTACTAAAACCAGCAGTTTCAAAAATATATTTAAAAATAATAATTATCTATTAACATGGATTTGGACCATAATAGGTAAGAATACTAAATTTATTTCTATATTCGGTATAAAATTGTTTATTAGGTTTTTAGTTTGCGATGTTTATTGTAAATAATTTTTATGTTCATTGCCTCTGAATTCACATGAGGACAGAGATGAGGATATCTATTGAAAAGTAACCACAAGAGGAATTGTTACATCATTTAAAAAATGTTGGGAATTATATTGTTTCCCATCGAAAAGTAGAAAATGCCAATGCAGATGAATGTATTGTAATTGTGATAGAAGTAGAATATTATTTTATATTAAATGAGGTATTGTACCAACAATCAATTTATATTAATACCGCAGATTAAAAAATAACAGAATAAATAGTTCTTTCTTTTATACTACAAAAATAAACTATAGAATACAACAGTATTAAAAAAAAAAGTTATGTCTCGCCGAGATTCGAACTCCGGTCTCTCGCTTCCTAGCCCAACTCCTTACGCACTGCTCCACAGTAACTTGCTTAGCGATAATTCAATTACGGTATATAAACAAAAAAACAGGTTTATAACAATACCTTGACGATTTGAACTGGCGCGCGGAGCGTGCTGACCAATAGCGCCTGTTATCACCTGTGACGTAGCGACCAACCTGCGCAATATCATACCTTGTATTCTTTGTACCATGAGGTATGAGAGTATGAGGTATGATCGATAGCGGCTCCAATTTCGTTCAGTTCGCGCATACCACCTGTGACGTCACTAGGAAAATAAGGAATAAATAAAAAAATAAAGAAAGTTAACAAGAGATCTGCGTTTTTTGTATTTTTTAGAGTTATGGTTAAGAATTGTTATTTTTCTGACTTTTTAGTTCGTTTAATTTAATAATTACTAAAACCAGCAGTTCCAAAAATATATTTAAAAATAAAAGGCAAAAATCCAAAATATTAATTATCAATTAACATGGATTTGGACGATAATAGGTAAGAATACTAAATTTATTTCTGTATTCGGTATAAAATTGTTTATTAGGTTTTTAGTTTGCGATGTTTATGGTAAATAATTTTCATGTTCATCGTCTCTGAATTGACATGAGGACAGAGATGAGGATAAAAATATGACTATGGAAAATAATCAAATAAATAAATTGTTATATCATTTAAAAATGTTGGGAAGTTGATTGTTTCCCATCGAAAAGTAGAAAATGCCAATGCAGATGAATGTATTGTAATTGTAATAGAAGTAATTCCAAGGGTGAAGTTTATTATAATTAGTGACCTGTGCTTCTTTTTATATGTAGATGTTTCAGGTTTTGAGAATAAATCGGTTGAACGAAACCCAAAATTTAGAGAAGTATTTGCATACCCAGAATATGCCCATCAAGGATTATAGCTCAAATTTCCTCACTTTTATTCAATACAAATTAACTTTTTAAGTGACTGAAATATTAAATAGTTTACAATATGGTATATCACTGTAAAAATATATTACTTTTAGGTACAATTAAGGCCCGATACATTTCAAAAAGTAGAATATTATTTTATATTAAATGAGATATTGTACCAATACAATCAAATTATATTAATACCTTAGATTAAAAAATAACAGAATAAATAGTTCTTTTTTTATACTACAAAAATAAACTACTTATAGAATACAACAGTATTTAAAAAATTAAATAAAAAAGTTATGCCCCGGCCGAGAATCGAACTACGGTCTCTCGCTTCATAGCCTGACTCTCCACGCACTGCTCCACAGTAATTTGCTTAGCGATAGTTCAATGACGGTATATAAACAAAAAAACAGGTTCATTACAATATCTTGACGATTTGAACTGAGCGTGCTGACCAATAGCGCCTGTTATCACCTGTGACGTAGCGACCAACCTGCGCAATATCATACCTTATTTTCTTTGTACCATGGGTTTTTACTATACCTTTCAGTTTCTTCGGCAATGTCAAGTTTATAAATAAAAAACCAACAGAAAGTTAAGAAAAATGGGTGTAGCTTCACTTTTTTTAATGGAACATAAAATAGTTGTGTGTTTATATTTGCATGAACCATTTTTGGATTATTTTGGTTTAATAATGCAACCGCTATCACACAAAATGAATAGTGTTCCTTAAAGGTGCGTCCAGATCGGCCGCGCCGCTCCGCACCAACTAAAGCTATACATTTGTCAATACGCTGCAACAACTGCAAAGTTAGTTTGGTCATTGCACGAAATACGTCCAAATAGGCTGATTCATTCTGCAACAAACATCGTCAGTGTTCCGTTCAGTTTGGTTATTTAAGTATTATCCTAACTGACTGCTCCAAAACGTGCAAAATATTTAAATAAATTATAGCCAATGGCCGCATTAATAATCAATAATTAGTGAGCACTAGCAAATTTCACAACAAAATATCAATTCCCACACCGACCCACCCCAAAACTCGAATGGTTTGTGTTGTCGAAGGGATGGGGACTTATCAGAGGATAGTTAATAGTAAAAATGTGCATTAATATGCAATCAAATGCTTGAAACAAATATAGGGCAATAAATCTGAATAAAATCCAAATATTTTTATTAAAGTGGTTTTATTTTTGCATCAGTTTTTTACAATTTTTATTACAACTAAAATCCATCTAATTTCCATATGATTTTTGGACACTTTTCCACTTTTCTACAAGTTCCGAAACACCTTTCTTCTTCATAGTTAATCCTTGCGCCAATTTGACCTATAATATTTGAATAATTAATTTTCATTTATTATAAAATAATACTTTTCTATTTTAAATCTCACCTTTTTCTTCTTTTTTCTCATTTGTTCCCCAATTAATTGCATATCTAAATCCTGAGACTTCATAACATCCTTAACTGAGGCAGATTGCTGATTAACAGAAATTAATTCAGATTTATCTCTTTCAGAAACTTCGGCAATTTCTGAATAAAAAGAATCTAATACTGAATTTAGTGATTCTTTATGTACTGTTTTAGTTTCCTAAAATTATTAATAATGATAATAGTAATTTAAAAGTAAATAGAAAAACTTAGTTCAGTTTTGTACTCCAGCAAGGAAGTCATGCACATACATATATTGTGATTTTATTGTGTTGACTTATAAGTACGCCGTTTTGTATACATATTACATATTCTTATTTTAAATCCAAATTTTCAAAAAATAAATACTCGCACCTCTCCATAAACGTCTAACGTTCCATCACCCTATACATATACAGGGTGTCCCAGACTGAACGTACATTAGAAGTTTCTAGAGAACCACAATATCTATATCGGAGATTTTTTGCACATCATTGTTTTACAACGAGATCTATCAATTAAAAATATTTTCAATATGGCGGCACTTCCGGAAATACCGGAAGTTGACAGCATCAATATGGCGGCACTTCCAGAAATACCGGAAGTTGACAGCAACTTTTTTATTTTAAATGGGTGCCCCTATTTTTTATTACATACTTAAATTCTTTGTAAAATTCTATGAATATTGATGTTAAACACTCTATATCTAACATAAACCGTTTCTGAGAAAAAAATATTTAAAATTTTTGGACGAAAAAACCTACCTGTCAAAAAAATGCCAGCCACTGTGACATAAAGAGAAGACATGTGGCTATCTATTTCGAAAATTAAATTGTTCAAACGTCATATAATAATGGCGGTAGCTGTCATGGAATTGAGCGGTTAAAAAATTATGATAAATCATTTTTTCAAATGGAAACCCACTTTTTTTATTTCACCAATCAAAAAGTTTTTTAATTCGCTATTTTTTAACTATACATGTTCCTATACCTAAAATAAATCGTTTTTAAGTTATTTAAGGTTTAATTTGAAAACGTGTAAATTGATTTTATCTATCTTCCTTTGACATTAAGTGTCAAACGGCCAAACAATTTATTTCCATCTGTCAGAAAACAAATTATCTGAATTTCCTATATTATAAATACCGCCTGCCTTAAGAGTTTAAAAAGTATATTTATAAAAATATATATCCTGTATTACCGCTCTGTAGTGTTATCTAATAGTTGATATTATTAATAATATTCCGTATGACCGAAAAAAAAACAGGGCAAAGTTGGCTCGGAAATGATGCTACTTTTTGAACAAAGCATCGCAATATGACATGGCCCGATCTATTGTTTTACATCACTTGACGTTTAAATTTAAATCATAGGCTACTGGTTAAAATCAAGAAAAATATACACTCTAAAACTAAATCTTAAATAACTTAAAAACGATTGATTTTAGATATAGGAACATGTATAGTCAAAAAGTAACAAATTGAAAAGCCTTTTCCCTAGTGAAATAAAAAAAGTGGGTTTCCATTTGAAAAAAATGATTTATGATAATTCTTTAATCGCTCAATTCTATGACAGCTACGGCCATTATTATATAGCATTCGAACAATTTTTGAAATAGATAGCAACATGTTTTTTTGTTTATGGCACAGTGGCTGTGGTAATCACTAAATTTGAAGTTTAGACTATACACATATCTTTGACAGGCAGTTTTTTTCGTTCAAAAATTTTAAATATTTTTTTTTCTCAAAAACGGTTTTTTTCTCAAAAACAACGTTAGATATAGAGTGTTTAACATCAAAATTCATAAAATGTTAGAGAGAATATAAGTATGTGATAAAAAATGGGGCCACCCATTTAAAATAAGAAAGTTGCTGTCAACTTCCGGTATTTCCGGAAGTGCCGCCATATTGAAAATATTTTTAATCGATAGATCTCGTGGTGAAACTATGATGTGCAAAAAATATCAGAGCTAGATGTTGTAGTTCTCTAGAAAATTTTAATTAACGCTGGGAAAACAAATGGGACACCCTGTATATGGATAGTGAAGGTAAAAACGGTTTTATATCAGTTTAGTTAAAATACATAGATTATTCCTTTGAAATTATTTATTGTTTTCTAATTAAATAATTATTAGGTATAAGGAATCGACCGCAGTAAATATAGAGGCTTAACTTTATTTGATACCTTCTCTCATAGCTTCGATTAATGCATCTCGATTTTTATGCGATGAATGATATATTTTACAGTTAAACTGACATAATTCCCAAGCAAAATAAAAATTTGAAATTGAGAAGTTGAGAAGTAGCTCGTTAGGAAAATCCGCAACCCTTTATATTCAACAAAAACGGAGATATTGCGCATGAACGAAAATGGAATACCTATATATTTTACTTAGAGATAAAAGTTAATGGACTGCAATTTGTTAAATAAACTTAAATTGTTAATTTGTTTCTTCGACTTTCAAGCTGACTTCATCCTAACTTTATGATGAGCAATACTAAAAAAGCATACATACGGAAGAATTCTTATATGAAGCCGCAACATCTGAAGAATCAACCCCTGGTGGCAGCGGTTCATAATTTTCCAGAGGCATAGGAATGGAAGGCAAAGCTTGCTCTGACGGCAATGATACATCTAAAAACAATAATAAAAAAAATGTATGCAAGACAAAACCGATCGATCATAACAATTAAATACCGGGACCAGAGAAATAGGAACTGAGAAACAGAACATAAAGTTGGACCGTTATATCTGTTTAGCGGAAAAAAGGTTTTAGATTTTTATAAAGAAGGTTTGCCCCATAAGAACTATTTATTGAGCATTGAACATTTCAACTTGACTTGTCAAAAGAAATTTATTGATATTTTATCGAGTATTTTATATAATATTTTTAGAATATATTGTTACGTTTTTCATCGGTTCCGTGTGGATAGAAAATCACAATTTATTTAAACACAATTTATTTAACACTAATTAACAAAAACAATAACGATAAAAGACTTAAAGAACTATTTATAACTATATTTACAAATTTATTTATCTACCGTATTTATTTAGAGCAAAAACAAGAAGCCTCGACCGTAGCACACTGTAGTTTATTATCGTCTGTCCCTTGCGCACCGGCGTCGGTATATATATAGGCGTGCGACGGAGTCTAGAAAGCACTGGGCGGTGCTGGAGAATTCTTAGCCGCTGTGCTCTGGAATTTCTAGGCTCTTCTAGGTCATATTAAAGCGGGACTGGTTTCGCAACACTGCCCCCTCCTTAGATACATGCTCGTCCCGAGATGTACACGGTGAATGAAGGTACTTGCAAAGCTAGCCCCTGGTACATTGAGAAGTCTGGTAGAAATAGCAGTCTACAGTTTTCTCGCCTGATCTCAGCTTTGGGTTGTAGCAGCAAACGAGGATCTCGATTCCCGTAAATCTAAACAAGACTTCAATCATTTTCCGGATTGTACGCCAACTCAAACCATCGAGTCGACACGCCAGCTTCGGAATGGCTAATCGTGTAATGTTGTTTAGCAGGGCTTCTCTCAGTTCAATCAGGGTCTTCCATAGATTGAGATAAGTCGGCTTACTCGGCGACCATTCCTTAGTGACCAGGTAGAAGATGTGTCTTGCTTGACCATGCGCATTGACGATTAGCCTCAAGGGGCTTCCAACCTCTGGATCCTGTCGACGTAGTTCTCCGATACGCCCAAACTTCTCATTGAACGTCGCAGCAATTCCTCTGGACATTTGCAAATCTCGGGCCACACAGTGAGCGAGCGAATAATCAGGAGGCACGGAAAAGAGGTTCCGTTGTTCTTCTTTGGTCACACCATAGCGAGCCTTCTCACTGCTGTTGTATCGGGCCATGAAGTCGTCAAAGGATATCTCCGAATCAGGGGGATCAAAGCTGCAGGTTCTCACGGTCCAAGCACGATCTTCTATTTCGCCTTGGTAGGGGCTCAAACGGTTGAAATGGACTACCCCCGGTTTTCCTTTTGGCAATTTTCTGATACGGTATACGACGTCATTAATCCTAGCCATTACTTCGTATGGCCCTTCCCACGAGGATTGTAGCTTCGGAGATAATCCACGACGTCTCTGCGGGTTGTACAGCCACATCAAATTCCCTGGTTTATATCCCCCGTGCTCAGCTTGAATGTCGTAGTGCTCCTTCATTCGGTCACTAGCGCTTTGAATATTTAGGCGGACTCGCTGATGGATGTCGTCCATCCTTTGACGTAGTCTGTGGACATAATCTTCTCCAGCGACATCTTCCCCGGTCGGCAACCAAACTTCAGATCACAAGGTAGAGGCACTTCCCGTCCCATAACGATGCTGGCTGGAGTTTGCCCTGTGGATTCTTGGACGGATGAGCGGTAGGCCAACAGGAACAGGTGAAGGAATTTGTCCCAGTCTCTTTGGTGGTCAGAGACTACTTTGGCCAAATAACGGTTGATGGTTCTGTTCATGCGTTCAACCATCCCATCGGATTGTGGATGTAGAGCCGTCGTCCTGGTCTTGCGGATGTTAAGGACTTCACAGACGCCTTGGAACAAATTGGACTCGAAGTTTCTTCCCTGATCGGAATGAAGCTCCACGGGAACACCAAACCTGCAGATTCATTCTTTAACAAGGGCATCAGCAATGGTGGACGCTTCTTGATTTGGCAACGCGTAGGCCTCGACCCATTTGCTGAAGTAATCCATTACTACCACAATGTATTTGTTGCCGTCGTTCGTCTCTGGGAAAGGACCAGCCACGTCGATCGCTATTCGTTCGAAGGGACTGCCTACATTGTACTGGCGCATAGGAGCTTTACCACGCTTTTGTGGCCCATTGATGACGGCACACACGTCACATTTCTTGCACCAGGCCCTCACATATTCTTTGCAGTTCATCCAATAGAACCGTTCACGCAGCTTGACAAGTGTCTTGGTAGCACCAAGATGTCCACCGCTGGTTCCATTGTGAACTTCCTCCAAGACTTCCGGGACCCTCTTCTTTGGAATGACGATCTGCCTTCTCTCTTCTTGTCTCCCTGGTCTCTCAATCACACGGCGGAGTAACCCGTCATCTATTACCAAGGAATTCCACTGGGCCCAGTACGACTTCACGTTCGGCGAATATCTGCAAACTTCCTCCCACGTTGGTCTTTGGTCCGCGTTCTTCCAGTTAATCACTAAGCCTAATTCTGGGTCACTGATTTAGTCGTTTGCAAGATCTTCGGGTTGCCAAGTATCGTTAACCACAGTTGTTCTTAGAACTTTCGCTTCTTTCTCTTCTGCTCGGGAACAATATTTACAGTCCTTAGCGCAAGGTCTTCTGGAAAGTGCGTCGGCATTTCGATGGATTGCTCCAGCTCCACGTTCTGTGTCGAAGTCAAATTGTTGTAATCGTTCGATCCATCTAGCTACCTGCCCTTCAGGATTCTTAAACTGCAACAGCCATTTTAAAGCAGCATGGTCTGTTCTTAACAAGAACTTTCTTCCATAGAGATACTTGTAGAAGTGTTCCACTGCTTTAACTACGGCTAGTAATTCTCGTCTGGTCACGCAGTAGTTCCTTTCCGGTTTTGACAAGGTCTTACTAAAATAACCAATTACTTTTTCTTGACCATCCTGGATTTGAGACAGAACAGCGCCTAATCCAACATTGCTAGCGTCAGTATCCAATATAAAGTTTCCGTTGCCAAGGGGGTAGCTAAGTATGGGCGCACTAGTCAGGGCCTTCTTCAGTGTTCGGAATGCCTCGTCAGAATCTGAGTCCCAAGAGAAACGCCTCTCGCCTTCGGTAAGTCTGGTTAATGGTTTAGCGATGGTGGCGAAACCCTGTACATAACGGCGATAGTATGTGCATAGCCCCAAAAAGCTTCTGAGTTCATGTTTGTCTTTGGGTATCGGCCACTCTTCCACTGTCTTGGTCTTCTGTGGATCTACCGCAACTCCCTGGGAGGAGACCACATGGCCCAAGTAGTGTACTTTTTCTTGACACAGATGACATTTCTTGGGGCTAAGTTTCAAATCAGAGCTCGCAAGTCGCTTGAAAACTTCTTCCAAATTCTTCAGGTGATCGTCGAAGGATTTCCCCACCACTATAATGTCATCCAGATACACTAAACAGGTGGTCCAGGATAGTCCCTTTAACACGGACTCCATTAGTCTCCCAAAGGTAGCTGGCGCGTTGTACAATCCAAAAGGCATGACAGTAAATTGCCACAGTCCGGAGCCCACCGAGAACGCTCTCTGTCTTTCGGCGCCATGTCGACTTGCCAATATCCACTCTTCAGATCCAAGGTAGAGAATATCGTCGTCCCCGCCAGCGTGTCCAGAGTATCGTCTATCCTCGGCAGGGGATAGCTATCCTTCTTGGTAACATTATTGAGCTGCCGATAATCAACACAGAACCTGGTGGTACCATCTTTCTTTTTTACTAGTACTGCCGGCGATGTCCACGGGCTGTTAGATGGTTCGATGACACCCTCTTCTTTCATTTCTCGAAGGATTTTGTCAGCTTCTTCTCGTTTGGCGAGCGGAAGTCTTCTCGGATTTTGTTTGATTGGTCGTGCATCTCCAGTGTCAATTTTATGTTGTACTAAATTGGTACGACCTCTCTGTCCTGCTTCTCCTTTATCAAACACATGCTGATACTTGATTATTAGGTTTCTCAATTTTCTACTATCCTGGGAAGATAATCCGTTAACATTTACTAGCGCCTTCACCATTTTGTCCGGCATTTTCGAAGCCGAAACTTTAGAGGTTTCCATGCTTCGAATAACTGAGGAGACCGAGCAACAGTACCCTAACAGGGTTCCCTTCTTCAAGGACACAGAATCATAATTAGTGTTCATTACTCTCACCGGTACAGTCTTCTTCGCTCGTAGCAGGGCTTTTCCTACAGCGACCCCTCGTCCTATTTCGCTGTCATGGTTCCTTGGCTCCAACAGAATAATACTCCCATTATTAATTTTACCTTCCAGGCAACCATCCACAAATATCTCACAGAGCTCAGGGATCGAAACATCTTGCTACTACCACACGAAGCGTCTCCTCACATTTTCGATGTAGAACTACTTCTTCTTCATTTATTTTCAAAATTCCCTGTTTGAGGTTTAGTTCAAAACCTCTAGTGGTCATGATGTCCATTCCGAGAATAAGTTCATCTTCGATATCTGCTACTAATACTGGATGTTCGAAACTGGTGCTCCCAATAACAAAATTAAGGTTTACTTCTCCATGGACAGCAGCGGAGCCCCCTGTAGCAGTACGTAGTCGCCATTGTGTTGTTTTAACCTTCTGCGATGTTTTAAGAATGTCCGGTCTGATGATAGTTTTCGTCGCACCTGTATCCCACAGCATGGTTCGGAACTCTCCATCAACAAAAACATCCACAAAAATGCTTTTGAATTTGTGTTGTAGCGAGGCGACTTGAGCAGTTTTCGTTGAGGCATGTTGGGTACAGGTCGACGTGTGCTCCTTCATTTCGACCCTTAGTAGTTTTCCAACCTCGACGAAGCCGGTTCTTCGTTCTTCTCCTTACAACGGCTTCGCACGTGTCCTACCTGTCCGCAGTTCCAGCAACGAATCGGTCCCTTCTTGCCCATGTACTGGTGCATTACTTTCCGAACAATCCCTTCCACGGATTCGTCGATGGCCCGTACTCTTCCTAAAGACCGAGAACTTTGTTTCGCGGCCTCAAATTCTAGGGCACGTGCTAAAGCATCCACGTGCGTTGGGTGGGCTAGGAGAAGCGCTTGTCTTGTCTCGTTGTCACGTAAGCCGTCGGAGCATGCCTGTACTGCTAACCGCTCCATAACATTCTCGGGCGTAGCAGGGTACGCAAGGCGAACGAGACGGGCTACATCGGCTTCAAACTCCTGCAGAGACTCATTTGCCTTTTGAATGCGATTTTTTAGCTGGGAATGATAGACATGTTCCAAATGAGCTTGGCCGTACCTCATTTCTAAATGTCGTACCAATTGCTGATAATCTCCCTGTTCCGATGGATGTCGACAGTGTCTGCAGGATATCAGTCGCATCTCCTCGCAGTGCGATAGTCAAAGCGGTAGCTTTTTCAGCGATTTTCCAGCCGTTCGCTCTCGCAGCGGCTTCAAATTGGCAAAAATAATTGGCCCAAGCAGTTTTTCCGTCAAACTGTGGAGGTTTCATAACTGATTTTGATGTATATCTATTTTCGACTAGTTTCAGTCCCTCCGAAGTTTCTTGACATTTTGGTGAATTTGCCTTTGCTCCCCGTAAAAATTTCATCCCGTAAAATTTCGATTTTTCTGTTTACATCGTCCTCAATTTGTGTTATTTTGTCTTGTAGTTCTGTAGAATTTTCTATAACCTTTTCTTCTAATTCCCTGGAAGATTCCTGGATTTCTGTTATCTTTTCTTCTAAATTAAGTATTTTATTATTAAAGCTGGCCTGTATATCTTTAGAATTTTCTATGATTTTATCTTCTAATTTTTGGGAATTTTCCATCATTTTATCATTCAAACTGTCTTCTAATTTTTGTAGGCACGAGGTCGTTCACCTCGTCGACGTCAAGGTCACCTTCGAACTCAAAGCGAAATGTGTCCGGATCCTCGCCTTCCTCCCTCAAAACGTCTCTCAGTCTGGTTTGCAAAATGCTTTTCTTTCCATCTGTCTCGCACTCTCTCTCTTCCAATATGAATTTCAGTTCGGACACTTTCAAGTCTTTCAACAATTTCTTCGGAGCCATTGTTAGTCTTTTTATTTTTCTAGTGTATCACACACGCCACACTTGACACCAATTGTTACGTTTTTCATCGGTTCCGTGTGGATAGAAAATCACAATTTATTTAAACACAATTTATTTAACACTAATTAACAAAAACAATAACGATAAAAGACTTAAAGAACTATTTATAACTATATTTACAAACTTATCTATCTACTGTATTTATTTAGAGCAAAAACAAGAAGCCTCTACCGTAGCACACTGTAGTTTATTATCGTCTGTCCCTTGCGCACCGGCGCCGGCGTCGGTATATATATATATATACAGTGTGACCCACTCAAGACCGGGCACCCTCCATAAAATCTGTGTTTATAGTCCGATTTTGATGATTTTTTTTTCAAATATAAAGTTTCAAAAAATGTACTTTAGAGCTCAATGTCATGTTATTTCACAAAAAACAAGGCCTACTTAATAAGTTTTTGTGGTGAAAAATTTGCAAAATCATATTAGCGATTTTTTTTCAAAAAATTTGAGTACACCCCTACATTCGGCATCCCTCAAAACAGTTCTGTACCAAATTTCGTTTAAAAATATTAATTATTAATAATTCTGCAGTTAAATTAAATAATTCCCTATTTTTGCCAATTTAACGATGAGTTATAACGTAACCCTTGAAAAAAACAATCCACAACAATGGGTTTTATTAGCTGTCAATTCTTGCAGCGTAGAATTGAATATTAATTTAATAGCACGCAGAAAAGTGTTGTATCAAGAAATATTATTTGCATTATGGAACAATTAAATATTAGGGATAAAATTGAAATGATTCGTTTAGTGGGTGATAACTATCTTCAAGCAGGAGAAGCTGCCAGAGAATTTAACAACAGACATCCCGACAGACCTGCAGTAAGTAGAAGCACGGTTCAACGAATAAATAGAGTTTTTAATGAAACTGGTTGTGTGTCAAAATACTTACTAAAAAACAGAAGGCCGGAACATTGAATAAATAGGCGGAATGAGGAAATATTAGAATATTTTCGTAACAATCCTCGTGCAAGCATTAGAGGCGCCAGTGTTGATTTGGATATACCAAGGGAAAATATTAGGAGATGTTTGCGAACTAATAAAGTTAAACCCTTTAAACCAAAGATTTTACACACTTTGGAAAACGGAGATGATGTTAGACGATTGAATTCTGCTTATGGGCTCAAGCAGAGTATTTAAATAATAGAAATTTCTTAAAAGAAATTTTATTTAGTGATGAGGCAACATTTAGTACAAACGGAGTAGTATCCTCTCAAAATTCGCGATTCTGGGCAGTCGAAAACCCTGAATGGGTGATCAATACAAGAAGACAGTATTCTCAGAAATTAAATGTGTGGTGTGGCATACTTGATGATAGAATCATTGGTCCATATTTTTTTGAGAGAAATTTGAATAGTCCAACGTTTTTGAATTTTCTGATTAATGACTTTTGGGATGCAATACATAATTTACCATGCCAAACCCGTTTGAATTTAAAATTTCAATTGGACGGATCACCTGTGCATAACGCGGCAGTTGTCAGGGAATGGTTAAATGAAAATTTTGAAAATAAGTGGATAGGTCGAAATAGCCCGCTAATTGGTGGCCACCGAGATCCCCGGACCTAACACCCCTTGATTTCTTTCTTTGGGGTTTCTTAAAGCAACAAGTTTACAAGTCTAGACCTCAATCTGTAGATGAATTACGTATTAGAATTACAGAGGCTTCTGCAAATATTACACCACAGCAGCTTAGGAATGTAACTGTTAATCTAAGAAAAAGATGCGACAAATGTATTGAACTGAATGGAGGGCTGGTAGAAGCAACTAGAATTATTTGAATATGTTTAACTTATTATTCGGTTATTGTGTTGCTTGTAGTATTTTTATCATTGTTTGTAATAAAACTCGTTGTCGTGGATTGTTTTTTTCAAGGGTTACTTGATAACTCATCGTTAAATTGGCAAAAATAGGGAATTATTTAATTTAACTGCAGAATTATTAATAATTAATATTTTTAAACGAAATTTGGTACAGAACTGTTTTGGGGGATGCCGAATATAGGGGTGTACTCAAATTTTTTGAAAAAAAATCGCTAATATGATTTTGCAAATTTTTCACCACAAAAACTTTATTAAGTAGGCCGTTTTTTGTGAAATAACATGACATTGAGCCCTAAAGTACATTTTTTGAAACTTTATATTTGAAAAAAAAATCATCAAAATCGGACTATAAACACAGATTTTATGGAGGGTGCCCGGTCTTGAGTGGGTCACATTGTATATAGGCGTGCGACGGAGTCTAGAACGCACTGGGCGGTGCTGGAGAATTCTTAGCCGCTGTGTTCTGGAATTTCTAGGCTCTTCTAGGTCATATTAAAGCGGGACTGGTTTCGCAACAATATTTTAGTTGTATATTCTGTTAGTTTTGGCCTATATTGGAAATATAATAATATAACCCAACCAACCTAACCAACTCATACCTACGTAACCTATATGCATTCTAACTGTTTCAGTTCTTTGTAATTTTTTTGAAACAAAGTTATAGATAGTTAAAAAATAATATAATAGAATAGAAATGGAAAACCACCATGAGTACATTTCCTAATACAATCCCTCAAATAGCCTCAAGTATTCGGCGATAAAATCTAGGTATTGTGCACTTATGAAAAATTAATGAAACACATCACAAGTACATGATGTAGTACATGTAGAAGATCCCTCGGCCTACGCTCTATACAGAGCATTACAAAAATAATATAGCTACGGTAATTACAAAACATTTTCCGATGCACCTCATCAATCATATCGAAATTGACACTAAAGCCTATAAACCTGACTAAAAGAAATTTTGGCAAAAATGTTTAAATTTGTTGTATAATTTAAGATACTGAGCACTCTAAGCAGCTCTTCATTTTACTTTATAGAGCAAATGATTGTAACAAATATTTTATTTAGATTAAAGCAAAAATTAGTTTAAAGCGATTTTCGTTATCGCTATGTTGGCCACATTGTGCCGCGATCAGCAACGTTGTCTTTTATTATTTGACAATTATCATAATGTCAGTCATTATTTTGTATAATACCATGTTGTTGAATCTTGATGAGCAATTCTGTTTTTTTGGCGATTTTCAGTCTTTTTTTAAAAATTGTACTTTTAAGCACAAACAGTTCTTTTAAGAACTAAATTTTCGACTTTTGTTTTGCATTTCTTGAAATTGTGTGTTGAAAATATGCCAAAGCATTTAAACAGTCGAAGCAAAGAGTTTGTAGTTTTCCTGATAAACTCTTTGAACGAGAACGTGACCATAAATGTCTTTTATTGCCCTTGACTGCAGTCAGAGAAGTAAGTTTGATTGGTAAGTACATTATACCACTTTCAAAATTATTTCTACTGATTTCGATTTGTTGCGAATAGTTTCTGCCTTAAATTTAAATAGTTCTACTGTGAGTGTTAGTGACTACTGTTAATAAATACATTAATTACTAAAATTTTATTTATTAAATTAAAAATAAAATGTAAAAATCTTTAAAAAATTATATAATAAATATATTGTTTCCCAATTTTACATTAGCATTCATTTCATAAGTCCATCGCAATCTGGCAGCGCTGTCGCCATCGCTTGTCACTCACAGTTGATCACGTACATCAGAAATTGTTTTGCGATTACTTTATAAATAATCACATTTGACAAATTACATTTCTTTATGTAAATAAAATTCTTGAGCTTCGTATCTAAATGTAGATTAAATTTTGTTTATCTTACCTGATAAATGAACTTTCTTTAATTCCTTGCTAATCATAGGAGCAGGTGGAGGAGTAGGACTACTAATTTTTGGAGGAGATGGTGGCAAAGGCGGTTCAACTGGCAACTGAGGTCCAAAATTCGCTTGCAATTCGAATGCACTTAACGATGGTGATTCTTCCAACTGAGGAGGAGGCGGAGTAGTCGATATATCCATTGCGTCATCGCAACGAGTAATGTCCGGTTGGGGATACTCCCACTGACTCTCGCCTGTAGTCTGGTTTAAATAAAAGTACCGCTTGTTTGATCTAAAACATTATTATAAGAAACTTCATAACAACTAGAAAAAACAATCCATTTAAACTAAAAAAATTACAAGACTATTTTATTTAATGAAATAAACGCCAAAAAATTAACATATCAAAAAAATAATTCTGGATAAAGGGAAAGAATATAACAATTAACATCATTACTAAATATTTCTTTAATAATTTCTTACTAAACGTTTTCACATATTGTGAATAAAAAACATCTTTATATATTGTAAATAAATACTTATAATCGTTGACTGAAATAGTTCTAGATAGCTCACGGCACCCTATATTTTGTTTCCCTTTGAAAATAACCTCAATCATATTAATTTTTATAATATCTATGTGTCACGTATATTAACATCAAAATTTCTGCTTTATCGACATTCAAATATTGATTAAAAAAGGCATTAAAGAAAATCTTGGAAATGACCTGAAGTTATTTATTTGCTATTTGCTGACTTAAAATTTATATGTAAATGAAGGATGCAGGGGAAAACATGATAAGCGCCATTTTAGTAATTTTACAGGAGAGCACCGGACGGCTGGTGGTTATCAGGTTCTTTCCGTGTATTATATATTTTTACTAGGCATACTAAGGGTCGGCATTTCTGGTCTTGGGTGCCGATTTTCGTGTGCACGAAGAGTACGGTCAACACGCTTAGTAAAATAAGATGTACTGAATAAAGACAGAAGGCAAGTATTTTTCCAAGCGCATGGAATCTAGCGTCAAATTAAGTGATTATGTAATAAATACTTCGTTTTTAGCTCATTTTTGCTCTCTCCGACTTACTAGATTGCCGTAGCGATTCACTCTTATACATGTAAACGCCGACCCAAGGTTTCGCTTGCCAGCAGGGTATGTCATAGGATTTAACAACTTATTGCCCTGCAGAGTATATACATTTTGAAGGGACCAGGTAGACCTACTATAATATTGTAAAATCCTAAAATTCAGGCATTGGCGCTCATCAATTATCAAATTGGCACTTATCAAGAGGATCCTTCAAATGTAATATGTATCTCGCTTTTTAGGCAAATAGTAAAATATATAGTATGTTCAGCCATCGGTTAACATCACGTCATATATTGTCAAACTCTTTCAATCACTTGCCAACCACATGAAAGAGATTGGTGACGTCATTAATTAAAGCTACATTAGTTTCAGTTCGTAACTGTAACAGATAATTATTTGTTATCTCTTTGTTGGTAATATATGACAGTTAATTAATTCTATCTTAACAGACAGATAAAGTCAGATTGGAATTAAAGGGATCGTAACTGATGAAGAGTTCAAGAAAAAATTAATAAATGCCGCGGAACTCGCTCAATCAATAATATAGGAACGCACTTAAAATTTTCTAAACAATATGAACTGATCTCAGACACACCCTAAAACCTTACCCTAAAACTTATATTTGTCTAATAATGATGACGTAACGGTGAACGATGGCTGAACAGTTAATAAATTTGAAATATGGTCCGTTAGCTAATTAACTAAATCTTTATACAAGGAAACTTTACTCTGAGGTTTGTATACTATTTTATCTACACCATTACTTAGGGTTTTATAGGGCCCTGTTCATTTTATTCCGTGGTCTGTATTTTCATGCAAACGGCTGTTTGAAATTTCGATCCAAAATCCGGCAATACCGCATAGAAGAAAATTATCAACCCAACTTTTTTCTGTTTTTAGTACATTTGATTTTTCAATAGGCTGCCTCCATCATTGTCTTACATGTTAAAATCTCGACCACGCTTCTACGGTGACTGAACCTGTATACCAAATTCGCATTTATATCTTCCATAGAAATCTCATAAACAAAAGGAAGATAAGAAACCCGATGACGCGGTGACGACAAATATACAAAAGTAAGATAAGAAACCCAACGATAACTTTTCTCTCATAAGAGGTACCATAAAGTCTCGCGGTACTCCCCTTATCTTACCTCTTAGCTACCGCCCCACTATGATCCCAGGACTTAGGTTCTCAAGAATATAGATGTTAAACATGTATTTCAGATACTTAGTGGCGGATAATTATTCCCAAACTACGTGAGCTTACTGTAGATATATTACAATCAACGATATAATAAATGTATTTTCTCTTAGACTAATTGTGCTAATTGAGTATAATTTTCTACACAGAATAATTTTTTTCTGGTTTTTTAACAGTAAATTAATAATTATTGATATATTACATTTACGAAAATAGTATTGACAAATATATTAAGCTAAAAATGTTAAAAATACTTGAATATATAAAAACTGTCATATATGCCAAAGTTACGAATTAACTTTATATAAATCAAATCTATTGCGGTTTACTAAAATACTAAATATCAATAAGAATTATAGGACCCAATTTGTCCTATTGATACAAGCTTCTGTCTTTTACTATACAATATACACTTTTACTATACAATATTGAATAGAATAAAGACAAATAAAAATTCATTAAGAACAGTTTTTTGTTATAAAAATGCATATCAGAAATTTTAGATGTAGAAATGTGTCGTTTTATTTAAGATCAAGATTTTAATTAAAACGACGATTATTAATCATTTAAATTAATATACTATAATGATAGAAATAACTGGATAATAAAAAACATGATTACAAGTTTGCTTTACCATACTCTACCTGTAAAAACACCTGTTTTAAAACCATAAGAAAATGTATATGCATCATTTTCTTATGTGTAATAAAGGTGTTATGAAACTTATTATATTCATATGTAAGTTTTCTTCTTTATTCCATTTGCCGCCACTTGGTGTGTTTAATCCTAGACATAAAATACTGTTAATATCATAGAATTTATTAACTTTCATAAAGTATAACAATAGTTACAAACCTTCATAAGTGACTTAAAAAATAAATAGGAATGTTAATAAAAACGTTGTGTAACCTGTATGCTTTAAAGAGTTACTCGTGTGTGTAAGAAAATAATTAAAAAAAAAATAACTAGGCTCTTGTTCTACTATAGTAAAAAAGCTTCTTAAATATCAATTCTCATATTCAAAATTAATTAAAAAATATGGAAAAATTCTTTATATGGTACAATAACTTTGAATGTGACCAACAATAACTACTATATTAGTGGCGATAGTATTTTTCTAAATGCTTAATAATGCATTTGATATCAAGAATAACTAGTTTTATTGTTTTACAATTCTAAAACAGCTTCTTGAATATAAATTCTCATATTCCAATCAATATTCAAAATGAATTAAAAAATATACAAAAAAAAATCTTTATATGGTACAATAATTTAAAATGTATACAAGAATCATTGGCGATAGTATTTTGCTAAATACTCAATAATGCATTACACAATAGTTGAAAAACTTTTTTATATATTCTTCATAGTGTGCGTTTCCTTCATATTTAACTTAACGGCACATACCATTAGTCTAAACCAGAGATTCTCAAACTGTTTGTATCACAGAGGACACTAATTACAATACAAAATTAGTGGGCGGAATTCAAAAGCGACTGGTTAAGGTATATTTTCTTAAAAAAAATTCGAACGTATAATCAACCTAACTATTTTTCCGAATCATACAACTTTTTGACATAGTTTAATAAAACAAGTATAAGAAGAGTACAATGGGTGTACTAAACAAAGAGAGGAGAGCAAAAATGTTGCCAAGTATATGAAATAAACTAAGAAACGGCGAACATTGTTTAAAGCGGGATCTGGAATCTTCGTCACGGAGGACGACCCGGCAGATGATAAACAAAATTAACAAATCCATGTGCAGTCCAGAAGTTAGAATTAATGTTAAAGGTGCATATCATGCATTCAATTTCACGCTTTAATTGCGTTAATTCTCCGATAAACGCAGTGACGTGACAATAGCACTGTCGCATTTTCTCTCGATTTAATAAGATTCCCTAGCCATTCTCTTATAGGCATGTAAATACCAACCAAAGATTCTCTTGCCAACCATGTATATTATGAAACAGTAGCGGATACAGAGGGGGGCCAAGGGGCCAAAGCCCCCTCCCCCTAATCTATAAATTGGGTTAAATATTAGGCTTTTGGGTTAAAAAAGGCGCTCGAAAAAGCATATTCTACATTATTTTTTATTTGGGCCCCCTAAAATAAATTACTGTATCGCCCCTGCTATGCAATATAATGTTTTAGTATACTATAGTGTCTATACTTTTAATATACAGCGTCATTTTTGGAAAGCTTCAAATGCGAAGGAAATATAATCTATAAATGGTCATATTTCAAAACCCACTCAATATAAATTATAATATGGTATTTTTAGACCAGAAATTATTTGACAAATTCACTGAGCGGAAAAATATACAGATTTTTATTTAAATGTGAAAATTAGTAGATATACTATGTAGATGTAGTTCATACAGATATTTTACAAGTAATAACTATTAAGTATAATACTATCTATACTAAAATAAGTATTAAGTATAATACTATCAGAATTTTTCAAATATTAAGAACGAAATTTTGAAACTTGCAGCAAAGAATAGTACACAAAAACATATTAATTTAAAAAAGTTTATATTTTAATTCGTTTAATGTGTAATATATTAGAAGAGATAAAGTCTATCCAACGAGTCAAGGACGATTTCGACAGACGACATCCAAAAAATTACAGAAAATACAATTTACCTGCGAATTAAAATTACAGACAACTGTCAGTAGCATCCTTGGCAGATCATTGGACAGACTTTACTAACCTAGGTTATAGGCTTGGTGCATATCAGTTGATTTTAAAAAATTCCGACCGCAGCGCTCTATACGGCAGAAATCAGAAGTTTTCGCTCTGTATGTAACGCCCGCCATTCCGGTTACAGTTCATGTTGATTGCATTAAAATAATATTAAAATCGTGGCTTCGTCATAATATTTAAGTATTTTAGTTTTTTGCTGGTGCAGTTATTGAAACAATAAAACACTCAAGTACGGGGTTTTTGTGATGTAACGATGTGTTTCGGGTAGTAAAAATTTAGTCAAAAAGAACTGGGCATCGCGTTATGTTCTGACAATTTCAAATGTAAGTAAAATTGCAAATGTTAAAAAATGTTAGCGTAAAGGAGGGCGTAATTAAGTGGTTGTTGGGTGCAATAACATTCAATAACTCAACTTTCCCAGATATTCAACTCTCTCGAATCAACATTTTATAGCTTCATAGTTTATCACACCGATTTGAACAAAAGCAAAAATGCATTCAAGCAGCTCGACAAAACAAGTGAGTAAACAAAGTGGCCATTAGATAATCAAAAAATTAAATAGACATATGTATACTATGAGAGAATAAAATATAATTTGCAATAATAATGGTAAATAATTAATCAACTAGTAGTTAGATTTTTTATGAATATCTTCTAAAATTATCATTATGTACCTTCCAAAAATGTCGTTATAGCCGAAATAGCCCAAGTTATGTCCCCACTGGCAAAACCGGTGCGCCAACTAATCTAAAAAGTTTTATTAGCTTCAATAATAAATTATAATACAAACTAGACCATCTGAAAATATCAAAATATTTATTTATTTTTTTTAGAATTTTACAAATTATACTTCCTAACACTTTTAGAATACTTAGTAGTCCTAACACTTTTAGAATACTAACACTTTTAGAACTTACTTTTAGAATAATTATATAAGTTTTTTTTGCAAATACTCGCTATTTAAACTCATGTGTTTGTATATACCGATTGTTTAAGATATTGTCTTATAGTGGCAGGACCGGCGGAGAATGCACCAAGCCTATAAACATACCTAATTGGTTGTAATTCAATTTTAATAAATTATTAAGTAAATAATAAAAAATCTTACCTTAGCAGCCGCTTGGTCCCGTAAAAAATCTGAATTACAAATGGTACCAAAATTTGCATTATGACCAAAAAGAAAAATACTTCGAACTTCGTCGAACTGCCACTCTTTTGGTAAATTAATTTTACAGATTAAAAATTGAATTGAATGCCATACCTATCCCACTGCAAAAGCCAACCATCTGGTGCGGCATCTTTTTCTAACTTTGTGAGTTCAGAACAGTTCTGTTCTAACCAATTATATAAATATGACATTTTGAGACATTTTTCTTCCATTGCCATAAACAGAGTCTGAAAATATGTTATAAATGAATAAGATATATGTAAAAAAAGACTATTTTTATTTATATTTAAAATACTAAACTCATCACAACTTTATTAGAATATTTTGAACGGGAAAGCGGTAGTAATGGCCCTTTCTGCGCCTGAAGAAGGTGAGTTTTGTTGATGTAAATAATAACTGTGGTGACAATTTCGATGCTCAATATTGGCATCTCAGAAACTACGAGAGATACTAAAGCTTGATTTTCATGCATCCGTTGTCCGACGATACGTTGATACGATATTAATTTCATTGGTTGTATTTAAAGGCTTCGATTGGTTAACCGTTTCTAACCAACAGAAGTCTTTAAATTCAACCAATAAATAAAATTAATATCGTATCATCGTATCGTCGGACAACGGATGCATGAAAATCAAGCTTAAGTCGGTTAAATGGGACAAAAGTTGCGTAATTAGAAGTTGGACACACACCTATGAAGAAAACCCCGGTATCTTGATTAGTTTCGGATTTATGTCAAAAAATGAAAATAATAAGTTTATTTTAAATGACAATATCTTCAAATCTATTGTATCTATTGCAACGTAAGTTGGTAGTTTTATATTTTTAACCTCGGCCAATTAAATGCCGTTTTCAGAAAATTTCTAAGCCTTCTAGATTTCGCACAACAACCAAGTTTTTGATTTCTTATGGCCGCCATTTTGAATTTTTACACTATTAGATAGAGCGAAAAAAAGTCTATACGGTGGTATCTAATTTTTATTCATTATTATGTAAATTCACTAAAAAAATAGATTTTTTAAAAGTTCGCCTAAGATCAGGTCTGCCTTGGAAATCCAATTGACACTTTAAGCCGCGTACACACTTAGCGAACTGTGTTAGCCGCGTACACAATTAGCGAATACGACCGCATGGCTTAGAACGAAGGAATTCGAGGAATGTGTACGTAGCAACGAACGCATACGTTCGCGTGCGGTTGTGTTCGGTGACTTGGCGGTACTTCAAAGGATATACTACCGCACGCAAACAGATGTATGATGCGTTCACTAAGTGTGTACGTAACAGCGAACAGCAAAAAAGTATTCAAACAAAATCATATTTGGTTGAACGTATGCGTTCACTAAATGTGTACGCGGCTTTATATGTCAGCCAGTTATTTTTTGTTTATTCTATGAAGTGTCAAATCTGGACGAACAAAAATTGTATAGTAGAGTCCAATACAGGTCAATACAAGGAATTGTATTAAAATTACTGTCTCATATCCTTTGAACTCTGTTCAAGGGATATCAGTATATCACCAAATCAGAATATTTGTGGTCTAGTTTCTCTAATTAAATGACGATTTTCTTTTGCATAACAATGTCAATTTTTTTTCTCTTAAATGTACCAGAATTTGTAAATAAAGATTCATCCGTCCATAATATTTTTCTATAAAAAAGGGGGCTTTCTTGAACACTTTTCCGAAACCATTTGTAAAATTGTAATCTTCTCTTGTAATCACCAGCATGTAATAAAATGTAAATTTGATACACATTTAAATTTTGATATTTATGTTTTTTGATAATTTTCCCTACATAAGAATCGCTTATACAACACTCGCGACTTATTTTACGGCTAGCTAAGTTTCCGGACTTACTTTAATCTGAGCTATCATATTAATATCATTAAGCCTTTTAAAATATTAGCCTCTTGTTTTTTAAAGCTACCAGCAACTGCAAAATTTCCTTGCGAAAATAGTTCGATGAGGCTGTGTCCTTTCAGGATACAGTGTTCTATAAATTGCGCATGCTAGATCGGAATTTCTATTATTTTTTAAGTAAACATCATACATATCTCGTGTTCCTCACTTGGAAACATATTGTTGACTGTTAATACACTTTACACTATCTATTATAAATTTTTGTGTCCAGATTTGACACTTAATAGTGTAAACAAAAATTAACTTGCTGTCATATAAAGTGTCAATGGAATTTCCAAGGCAGACTTGATCTTTTGAGCGAGTTTTTAAAAAATCTCATTTTTTTAGTGAATTTACATAATCTATACTAATACCTATATAAAATTCTTAAGTGACTAACATACTAATTAATCACGATCCTGCTCAAACCACTCAACGTAAGAAGCTCAATTTTGGCATACAGGTTGATTCTAGGGTGTAGAGGTTCGATAAGAAGGGATTTTTCGAAATTCCAGTTCCAAGAACAGTTCAAATATTACAATATTTTTTATTTAAAAAACGGTCAAGTTTCCGAAAAAACGCTTAAACACGTATATTTTATTTTGTTTTTTTACATATTTTAAGATTTTTTAAAAATGTATACAGGGTGTTTCGAAAAATCTGGTCATTGATTAATCACGATGCTGCTTAAAGCGCTTGATGTAAAAAGCTGATTTTTGGAAAACAGATTGACTTTAGAGTGTAGAGGTTCGATAGGATTTTTCGAAACTCGAATTCTAAGAGGGTGAAACTATCCCTCAAATATTAAAATATTTTTTATTTAAAAACCGGTGAGTTTTTCGGAAAAACTCTTAAACACGTAAATTTTATTTTGTTGTTTTACATATTTTAAGATTTTTTATAAACTTATACAGGGTGTTTCATAAAATATCACCATTGAGTAATCACGATTCTGCTTAAACTGCTTGACGTTTAAAGCTGATTTTTGGCAAACGGATTGACTGTGGGGTGTAGAGGTTCGATAAGGAGGGGTTTCTCGAATCTCAAATTCCAAGAGGGTGAAAACGCCCCTCAAATATTACGATATTTGTTATTTAAAAAACGGTTAGTCTTTCGGGAAAACGCTTGGACAAGCATAATTTATTTGTTTTTTTTACATATTTTGAAATGTTTTAAAAAATCATACAGGGTGATCCAAAGAGTTGGGTAATTTTTTAACCACGATTCTACTTAAACTGCTTGACGTAAAAAGCTTAACTTTGGCAAACGGATTTTTTGAAAGTCAAATTCCAACGAGATGAAACTACCCCTCAAATATTACCAAGTTATATAATAATATCGCCATATTGTTTTTTCTCATGCTAACATAAATGTGAGAAAATTTTATCCAGTTTTTATGTTAATGGAAATTCTTGCTTTGCTTTATCATCACCATTACAAATGATTAATTCGACGCGAACGAAGTCGCTGGTACACGCTAGTAATGAATGAAAATTAGATATCACCGTATAGATTATTTTTTGCTCTATCTAATAGTATAACAATTCAAAATGGCGGCCATAAGAAAACAAAAACTTGACTGTTGTTGTGCGAAATCTAGAAGGCTTAGAAATTTTCTGAAAACGGCATTTAATTGGCCGAAGTCAAAAATTAAAACTACCAACTTACGTTGCAATAGATACAATAGTTCTGAAGATATTGTCATTTAAAATAAACGTATTATTTTCATTTTTTTGACATAAATCCGAAACATATCAAGATACCGGGTTTTTTTTCATAGGTGTTTGTCAAACTTCTAGTTACGCAACTTTTGTCCCGTTTAACCGAATTCCTATCTCTTGTAGTTTCTGAGATGCCAATGTTGAGCATCGAAATTGTCACCATCCTATATATTTATAATTATTTTTTTTTGTTTCCTAAAATATTTTTATTAAAAGAAAATATATAAAAGTGGGCAACGCTGTGCCGGTCAACCTTAATCACGCGACTAAAAGTTTATTTGATATGAACTATATGTCAGTTGATAATTAAGTACTTACTTCCGCTTGTATTAGCATTGCTTGTACTGGTAAAATTGGCGACCTTCCTTCACACAAAAATTTTAGTTTTTCTTTGAGTATATTGTAATTACTCACTGTTTTATCTCTATCCAAATTATTATCATCCTCTTTTAGTTGATTATCTGTGTTTACTTTTTCCTCAATTGGATTTACTGTGTCCCCTTTTAAAAACATTACACCACCTTTTTGAAAACCCGGGTATTTCACTGTATCCAGATTATTTTCACAACTTGTACTTTTTAGCCCTTGAGGCTCAATCTTATTATGCTCGATACATGGTACTTCTGTGTCAGTTTTCACTTTTTTAGAATTATTCACCAATGATACACCAATTCGTCGCTTTCTTTGAAACGCTTTACTATCAAAGGTATTTGTATCAACTCCTAAAACATCTGTCTCTTTTTCTGGTTCAATGTTTGTACTAATAAAATCGTTAACATTAATAGGTTCAGTTATTGGAAATAATGTACTGTGAGATTTTTCAACGTTTGGTGCTGAATGAGATAGAATGTTGAATTTACTGGAACTAGCATGTTGTTCATCCTCTGCTTCACTATCTGAACTATGATAACCTTATAATAAAAAAAAATTGGTCAAGTGCGAGTCGGACTCGCGCACGAAGGGTTCCGTACCATTCATTATCTATACAACATTAGACACTATATTATTATAAACTTTTTTTCCGATTTGGCTGAAATTTTGACTGCGCGTATAAGTAATTTAAAAAAAAATGAAGAAACACATTACTAAAAATTGTATTAATTAATAATAAATATGTAAAAAGTAAAAATAAATATGTAAAAATTAAAAAAAAACGATTAAAAAAAGTCGCCGTGACTAGGATTCGAACCTGCCTTACTACGGCTCCAACGTCATAGCAGCGTAAAGTCCTAACGCTTTAACCATGCGGCCACCGAGGACTTGAAAGATTCTATGTAAAATTCTTACTTAAGAGATAATATTTAGTGAAAGTACTTTTTAATTTATAAACATTTATTTAATTCTGTTTTTAGTATTTGTTTTTATAGCGGCAACATAGATACATTATCTGTAAAAATTTCAACTGTCTAGCTATCTAGCTATAACGGTTCATAAGATAGACCTTTGTGACAGGCGGACGGACGGAAGGACAGCGAAGTCTTAGTAACATGGTTCCCGTTTTTACCCTTTGGGTACGGAACCCTAAAAATATATATTCATACAAAATCTTTTGATACCACTAACCTGCTACTAAAGAAATGGCTGGAACATGTGTCGGAAGCTTGTTTTCATGTAGAGGCGGATTTCCCTGGATTATAGTTTTAACTTCTGCAGGTACTTTACCTCCCAAATGTTGTAATTCTTGGGCTTTCTGCTGTATTTTTACTAACAAATCAACATCATCATCGTCATCATCATCATCATCCGAATGATTACTACAGTCTAATTCCTATAATTGATATTATTTTAATTATATAATTACTTATAACCACAGCTTATAACTACAAATAAAAAATAGAGAATATAATAACAATCAGACCCTGTGAGTCTTCAACAATTCAAGCTATATGAATTGGAAACTCTAACAGTAATTCATCATTCTCAACTGTATTTTATATCTTCAGATTGAAAACTTATCTTAAATCACGATTGACTCAGTAAATTTTCTCATCATTAGATTATTATTAGAAATTAGAAAGTGCATTGATTAGCAAGTTACCGACACCAATATGATTTTACAAAAACAACTTTCAACGTTTATTTATTCATTTTATAAATTTTTGTTACAATTTTAGGATAAAAAAATTATCATTTCAAAAAATGAATCAAGAACTGCTTGGAAGATAATAAAAATAATGCGATAAACAAAAACCGTCAACAAATAAATGTACTTCTATTTTATATGAGAATAAAGAATGCACTGACAATAAAAAATGCACCCTAAATAGTTCAGTCATTGGGGATCAAAAATGGGGTCTGCTGGGAAAAAAGTCCGGAAGTTTTGAAACTTTGCAGGTTTATAGGTTTTGGGGTCCCTAACTAAAATCCATAAAATGCACATCTCCAGACTTGCCGCCGGCGCCGCCATCTTGCCAAGATGGCACCCAAAATCGGTATTTTGTAAATATCTCGAAAACTATGCGTTTTTCGTAAAAACTTGAAGAGAGAAAAACGATGAAGAGAATAAAATTTCCTATAAAAAAGGTTTTATGGAAATTTTCGAGAAAGTCAACCGTTTAGGCACAAAATCCCTGGAAATTTTACAATTTTGCTTAAAGTATGATATATTATGTATAGTCGATTTTCCGAAATCAAATGTCGATTAGGGTTCACTAAAACTATAGTCTGTCCAACGAGAAGATCCTTGACAGTGATAGATGTGTCTGTCATTTTAATTTCAAAGTAGTTTATTTTATTTTACAAAGAAATAAGTTGGTACAACTGGAACGCATTGCAGGATATATTTAAAATTTGATTGACAAGATGACAAGTGATTACTTCAAAATATTGTGAAAAAAACTGTATAAAACTGAAAAAATGTAATCGAGTTATTTTATTTAATAAAAACGGTATGTGTTAATACAAAACAAACAAGAACAAGACACTACATACCAAAAAAAATATAAAAAAGAACTATTATTTACTTTCAAGCTTTATGAAACTACCCGCATTTATGATTATATTTATCAATATAACTTATGTACAAATACAAATTTGTAATATTCCACAGGAATAAATAAAACAACATATGTAAATAAAACAAACTATTTTATTATTAATAACACCTACCAAATTTTATACCTTAAAGGTTGATTAATTAACTTTAATCTTAATTTTTTTAAACCAGTACCTTTTGACATTATTTTTCTGCAGTACTAAAATCCATTATTTACCTATCGTGTGATGTCGATATTTTACAGCTACTCCAGTTTTAGTATGTGTTTAGTTTGATCCTTCTACCATATACGAGATACACTTATCTACGACGAAATGGTATACAAACTTTATCGATGGCAACTTCATTGGTGTATAAAACTTTCTGCCTGGGCAGCGAGTATAAACCATAAACTGTGCTCTGGGTCTACAGTTAATTTTCACTCGATTTTTCCTCCACTTGACTTCAAAAGACACAAAACACACGTAATAATACGAATCAACATGCATCATCTTCCAAAACGCAGGGTATTTAACAAAAGTTGACACAAAATTCTAACCTATAATTGGGCAAGACTTTGACAAGCGTCAAAAATGACAAAAATCTAAAGGCGAGTTCATACGCGTCCGCTTGTCATCGGCGTCCGTTTGTTGTTCATCGTTCCGTCAAACCAATAAAATTGAAATACGATCTGTCATTTTTTAAATAAACCAATAAAACTGGTTAAAAACAACAAGACACGACGCATGACGGATTTATATTTAAACCCATCCATATGAGATGAGTTTAAATACAAATTCATCATGCGTCGTCACTTGTTGTTTTTAACCAGTTTTATTGGTTTATTTCAAAAATGACAGATCGTCTTTCAATTTTATTGGTTTGACGGAACGATGAACGACAAACGGACGCCGATGCGTATGAACTCGCCTTTAGATTTTTGACGTTTGTCAAAGTCTTGCCAAATTATAGGTTATAATTTTGTGACAACTTTTGTCAAATGCCCTGCGTTTTAGAAGATGATGCATTTTGATTCGTGTTATTACGTGTGTTTTGTGTTTTTTGAAGTCAAGTGGAGGAAAAAATCGAGTGAAAATTAACTGTAGAACCCAGAGCACAGTTTATGGTTAATACTCGCTGCCCAGGCAGAAAGTCTTATACAGATGCACCAATAAAGTTACTATCAATAAAATTCGTATACCATCTCGGCGTAGATAAGAGCATCTCGAATATGGTAGAAGGACCATACTAAACACATACTAAAACCTGGAGTAGGTGTAAAATATCGACATCACACGATAGGTAAATAATGGATTTTAGTACTGCAGAAAAATAATGTCAAAAGGTACTGGTTTAAAAAAATTAAGATTAAAGTTAATTAATCAACCTATGAGGTATAAAATTTGGTAAGTGTTATTTTTTGCTGCTTTTTTGGTATGTGGTGTCTTGTTTTTGTTTGTTTTATATTAACACATACCGTTTTGTATTAAATAAAATAACTTGATTACATTTTTTCAGTTGTATACAGTTTTTTTCACAATATTTTGAAGTTACTTGTCAGTCAAATTTTAAATACATATATTAATTTCCTGCTATGCGGTTCAGTTGTACCAACTTATTCCTTTGTAAAGTAAAACAAACTACTTTGAAATTAAAATGACAGACACATCTATCACTGTCAAGGATCTTCTCGTTGGACAGACTATAGTTTTAGTTTAGTTTCTTCAATTTTGTCATAAAACAGTGGCATATCATTAATTTGTTTAATATAATAATAATTAATTTATGAATAACTAATTGTCGTGCTGGACAGCATTTATTGCGAACTTACTACCAAGTTCAGCATTGGTCTGGTTGTACCAAAGATGCCGAAGAATGGGGTTGGAAGAAAACAAAAACAGGCATTACTCCAGTCACAACGTTGACAGATCCAGCTCCAAAATCCCTATTGGTATTTTTATCCTGTAAATGCAAAACCAACAACTGTGGTAATCAATGATTTGTGCATACTGCAATGGGAAATCCTGTGACAACGTCACTGAAGTGTCACTTGACGAATCCGATGAAGAGGAGTTGGAATTGCCTGTAGTTATCCCTCTGACGGCTGAAGATGAAGAGTTGGACGAATTGAGAGACCACCCTGATGAGCCCAGCACAGCAGACACGATCGACTTTACATCAAAGAGCCAGGTCCGTCGGGCTTGTGCAGATAAGTTAAAGTTTTTAATTTACCTAGTAGAATAGGCCTCCGGGGAAACCACGTTAAAATAAACGCCCCATGACTTTACCTCTTGGGTGGTGTGGAAACAAGTACACATTTTTAATAATTAAAATTAATTATTCATAAATTAATGATCGAATTAATGATACGCCACTGTTTCATGACAAAATTAAAGAAACTAAACTAAAACTAGTTTTAGTAAACCCTAATCGACATTTGATTTCGGAAAATCGACTGTACATAATATATCATATTTTACCCAAAATTGTAAAATTTCCAGGAATTTTGTGCCTAAACGGTTGACTTTAGCGAAATTTTTCATAGAACCTTTTTTATAGGAAATTTTATTCTCTTAATTTTGCTCTCCTCAAATTTTTGCGAAAAACGTATAGTTTTCGAGATATTTACAAAATACCGATTTTGGACGCCATCTTGGCAAGATGGCGGCAAGTCTGGAAATGTGCATTTTATGGATTTTAGTTAGGGACCCCAAAACCTATAAACCTGCAGAGTTGCAAAACTTCCGGACTTTTTTTCCAAGCAAAAATCCCCAATGACTGAACTAAAATTGTACCAAATATATTTAATAATTATTTTATAAATATTTGAAAAACTAAAAAAAACTAATAGTTGCTCAAACATTGCTAACTCTAAATTTTCCATACGTCGAATAACATTCTTTATATTTATATCTAGCCAGTAAAAATCACGTTCTACATGTTATGGACGAAATCAAAACAATCAGATTCAGCGGACATGACAATTTTTCGTCCAGTTATAAAATTATATATTCTTTTAAATATTAATTTATTATATTACTTAAATGCTCTTTACAATTAAGTAACGCAACTAACGCACTTCATAAATATCATTTTTGCTACAGGAATTTTTCCCAATATTCAAAAAATATATCAAACTATCAGCCTATTCCATTGCTTTCTGTATTGTCAAAAATATTAAAGAAAATACTGTATGAGCTTACATATTCATTTCTAGAATCAAATAAATTGATTAATTTGTTCCACTAATTTCGACGTTCTGAATGAAGCTTAAGAACAGTGAAATAGATATGCAATTTTGATAATCTACTTTGTAGCCTTTTTTAACAAAAGTCAAAGAGGTCCCATCCTAATGTGCTCATGGCCTCCAATAGGTTAGACATATTTCTTTTTTTTTCAAAGATAATAAAAGGTAATGGCTCCGGTAATCGGCATTCGAAGTATTAATATTAATAACTTACTCTATTATCTCCATTAACATTTCTAGAAGATTTTGATTCCGACTCTGAATCGTTGTCATTGCTAAATTCGGTGATCAATTCGATTTTCCTAAAACATATAAATCCTAAATAGCATTACAATAAAAATTAGCAATTGTATAATAGTTATTTACAGTACAAGTGTGTTTATGAACATGATTACAACAACGAGCGTGAACGATTAGAACGACGAGGTCGTAGACCGAGTCGTTTTAATCACACGGGTCATGTTTAAAAGAGAATCATGTTTAAACGCACGTGTCATGTACAACGTTTTATTTACAACCGAAAAATAAGAAAATACTGTTTTAATTTTCGTTTATTAGTCGCCCACATTTAACACCTTAATTTTTTTAATTATAATTGTGACAGACAGACCTTAGACCTTTCAGTTAGACCGATAGGTTAGACCTTCACTATTATCATCATCATCATCAGTAGCAGGAATTGTTTTGAAGAAGTGTAAAAAATGTGTTATTAATATTTATAATAATTAGTAGTAGGAATTTGTATCAAAAATTAATATATTTAGATGTTCGTAGTTGTTTTTCGTTATTATAAAAACTAGTTGTATTATAGATTCATAACACCACTAGTTGTGTTATGAATCTCATAACGTAACTGAAATACTAAAAAAATAGTGATGTAAAAACGTTATAACTAAACGGTTGTAGATAAAGTAATATAAAATATTCAGTTCCATGAATATCACGGCAAGTAATATACCGGGCGGTGCATCGTCGTTGGAAACAGGATATCTCATGCAAACTTTAAACTGTCCAAATACTGGCTCCCCTATCGATTTTACAGCGAAGTTGTAAATAGGTTTTTCAAAGTTCTGCATATGCTGAATACGCATGCCAAATGTAAACAATTTTCGACAAGCTGATTTTAAATAACTTAAAGAAAACTGCATGTATTCTTAAATTAAAAATGAACAGGTAGCAAATTAAACGTTGTAATTTACTAAAATTTGTTCTATTATATTAATATATTTTTGATATTTGCTCAAATAATAGAGTTCTTCTCGCCTAACTATTCCAAATATGGTGAAACATAATCAGTTGATGCAATAAAATTATATTTTTTTTTTAAGAAAAATCAGTTGGAATACTTGGCATTAAGAGATTAACTTTTAACTGATTTAAGAGATTCACTTTCCTCTATTATCCATAATTTAAAAAAATATATTTATTTTACTACAAAAAGTATATTTCAAAAATAAAGCAAAAGAAGTTTTTTTCTTTTTATTTAGTTACAATATAACTTTAATTTTTCAATAACACACTTGAACCTGAAAGGCATTTTTCTTTAATACAGCAGCAATTTTATATGATTCTTTTATTTCATTCATATAACAATTATTATGTATAACTAGTTGAAGCCTGGCGCATCCGCCACGACATCAGGAAAAAAATACTCTTTTATTAAATGAAAAACAAAAAATCCGACGACGACAGTTTTTAGAAGAGCCAATTAGCTATTTTTTAGTAAAAAATGCAACTTTCTAGAGCAAGTCGTTACTTCAGTAGAGACGACACAGATGAACATTTGCATTTTATATATGTAGATATGTTAAAACATATTTTATTATTGCACCTAGATCACCTACGATCTGTATGTGCAAAATCTAATATCTAAATGTATTTGTGTATAAACTTAACAAAATTGAAAATTAATTATTTTAATTATACATATATTCAGTACAACATCCTACACCATCCCATAAGAATAAATACACAAAATCCAAAAATTGCTCAAAAAGTAATTGAAGATAATATTTATAGTTATGAAACACAACTGATCTACACATATTAGCAAATTTTTAAAATAGAAATATTTTTTAAGTTGACTGGTTGTGAGTTATAGAGTTTCGGTGCTATGGTTTTAGCAAACCTTCGATTACCATCAAGTTTATAAATAGGAACAATTAAATTCTGATTAGTAATACGTCTCGTGTGGTATGAATGTTTAATTCTTGATTGTAAATATTTGTTTTTCTGTAGAAAGAGGCAATTATTGAAAAAGTATAGCATTCTAAGTAGTTTAAGTTAATAGCATTTCTAAGTTAATAGCAATCAAGTAAGTTTTCATCATACACCAAATTTGTGGAAGAATATTTTGGTTTTTGTAAGATCACTTTAAGTATATAATTCTGTACGTTCAGTCAAAGTTTACAGAATAAAATATAAGTTCCGTCACTTGTGCCGGCGCGGCGGCAGGTATCAAAAGCCGCTTCACGCACGTGTTTCCCAGTGTATTACTGGTGTGTGGACTTTGGATCCAGCATACACAGCATAGTTCGGCGTATTACTCTGATTTTGGCGTTATTACAGGGTGGTCTCGCATGCATATGCAATTTTTTTTTCAAGTGATTATTTAATTTTCATTGCAAAATATTACTAATCACATTAGCCTTAGTTAATTATTTATTAGTTTATTATAAAAAAAACATAATTATTTTTATTATTTCTTAAAAACAATATTGAGTTTTTCGCCACTGGAAAAAAACTATTTGAAATATCTAATTAGAATTATTCAAAAACACTTTATTTTTTTACACGAAAAATCATATACCGAATGTGTCTCAAAAGTGGCTCATCCCTATAACTTTTTTATTTTTTCAGATAAAAAAAACGACACTTTGACACTTGAATAGAATGACATATCATATCATATTATGTCAACTTTTGGCATTCTAGCTTAAAAAAATCTTTTAAAATTTCAATATTGAGTGTCATGGCTGTCTTAAAACAATAATTTTTAATCAAGGAGTCCTGAAAAAAATGGATTTGATCGTCTAATGTTTTTCATGTCTTGTCTTGGCTGGTTAAAAGATTGCCAAATGGTATTTTTAATCATATCTTAATTTTTTCAACTGGAAAGAGGGTGGCTCATTAGTATATTTGGAAAAAGTATTTTTTTACAAATAATTTCATGCCACACACTTGGTATTTCGAGTCAAATTGTCGTTATAAACCGCGTGTTACACTTTCAAATAAATCATATGCGAAACTGTTAAAAGTTGACATATGATATGTCTTTCTACTCAGAGTATCATTTTCTATCGAATAACGTAAAAAAATACCGAGGATGCCATTTAAACATCAAAAGTTGTTGACATTTAATAGTTTCAGCTTTGAATTTTATAGTGTACGTAATTTGTGTTGGAAAACCATGTTACGTACTCATGGAATACTGCACTCGTGCATAATATTATTTTTTCCAAAACACTCGTTACGTAATATACTATTACATTATTTACTGTTGGTTTTGTGTAGCTTTATTTTTTGTGTTTGTTTTTAAAATTTATTTTATTTTTGCTATATCTTTTTTATCTTGCCTTGTCTAAATATTTGTATGTAATACACCAATAAACTGATAGTATATTTTTTCTTTTGTAGATTTACTATTAGGTATTTTTGAAATGCCCCACGTTCCCCTGCGCCTTGTCGCACATTGCAATCGGTAAAATGGTAAAAATGCGGCTTCTATTTACCCCGGCTTCCACTCCCGTTTTCATCGAAGTCCGGCGAATCAGACGAGGCGGCTTCTGGCTTTTGATACACGATTTTCAAAGTACCGATGCTAAGAGACCGAACTTTTGGTTCAGTGGTTCCCAAGCATTATTATACAGACCACCGCATACAACTATAGCATACTGCAAAACCGACTCAACAAGCGCTTTATAAATTGTAATGAGTAATTTTTTGCTCAAAAATTTTCAAAAGTTCATAGAATTTATAAACTAGTCACCTTGTTTTAATACACAAGTCATTAACATGGTTGGACCATTTTAATTTTTCATCAACTGTTATGCCTAGGTATTTTATACTGTCTACTTCATTAATTTTTAAACTTAGCTGTAACTGCAAAATTAGGTGTATTTATGTCGGTAAGAGAAAACGCAATATATTTTGTTTTTTGCAGATTTAGGGTTAATTTGTGATAGTCCAGCCAATCTTTTATCATACCAATACCATACACTGCCCTGTCTCTGACCCCCTCCCAAGTATCATCGCTGAAGATTAACACAGTATCGTCTGCATATGAAATTGAATTGAAATTTGTCCGTTGATATTCTCCTGATTTGTATGTGAGTTTTGTTATAAGAAGGAAATAACTGCGTTATAATGAGAATTATATAATATAATAAAATTGCAAAATTGCATACAATTGAAAACTTTTATCTGAAATAGCTCTAAAACTACTAATTTTTAAAACATACTTTAAATAGTTCAATTGTAAGGCTCACTAGCTGCATCTATAAAAGTATAAACTATCATTTAAAATATGTACATGAAAAAAACATGAAGGAAATGCATGGACAATGTATTTCCTTCATGTTTTTTTTTCATAAAAAGCTAGCAATTATTACCTTAGTATTTTTTAAAAAAAATAATTAGTTGTCACTGAGCCTAATTGTTTTTAAATTATTTAATTAAAACATGTTTTAAAATGCTTTAAATTACTAATAAATACTAATACAAGATATATACTCTAAATACTAATACAAGATATATATGTCAATAATCACCACACAAGCTAATAAAACTAGTTTTTCACTTTGTCAAGCTTTCGAGAATTTATTTTTATTTATTTATTATTTATTTATTACATATTATCCAGGGGATTTCTGTCAGGAGAGTTTGAATGAGTCAATTAACAAAACATCCTCTGCACAATAAGGCCTTAAATACTAACATCATAGAACATTGCATTCACAAGGAAATTTCCTTCATTACATATACATCTAACGACGTTCTTCTTTACAGAAGAAAATTAATCAAAAATTAATTTGCTACATATGTAGTTGTTTCGAGCTTGATCAGAGTTACTGTTTAATCGAGCTTGAAACAACAATGTAGCAATTTATTTTTGATTATTATTTTTTTTTTGTAAAGAAAAATGTCGTTAGATGTATATGTATTTTAATATTTAAAGGAGATTTCCTTGTGAATCCAATGTCCTATGATGTTAGTATTTACTCATTAGTATTCTTATTGTGCAGAGGATGTTGTTTTGTTCATTGAGTCATTCAAACAGTCCTGATGATGGGAATAAAATTCTCGAAAGCTTGACAAATTGAAAAAGTAGTTTTATTAGCCTATGTGGTGATTGTTGACATCCTCACTTGCATTTGATTTTTTTTATATACAATTATCAAACAGCAATACATATTTAAAAAAAGTTCTTACTCATCATCAGAACTGTCACGTTTCTTTTTACAACAAAAATTAACATTTTTGTTTTGGCTTTTATTTTCTAGAGTTTCTTGTAAAGAATAAATCTTTACTTTAGCTTCTGGATTCACAACAGCATTTGAAAATAAAGCTGCACTACGTGGCATATCAGGTTTTCTATTAGTTACTGGTCTCCCAGAAAGATTCTTTTCATGCTTTTTATTTATGGCATTTTCTTTTTTAAATAGCTTGGGTTCTACCCAGGTAACTTTATCTGTTTTTATATTCCAATAGTAGGAATATCCGGTTAATTCATCAAAACATTCCTGCCAATCTATAAAACAATAAAAATATATTACATTTGATATACTCTGATTTCTAAAATTTACCTTTAGCCTCCTCTGAATTATGGTTCTCTGGGGCTATCTCATTAATTTCATTTAAAAAATTATTAACGGTTGCATCCATCGATTATCCAAAATTAGAAACATATAAACTAGAACCAATACTACAATTATATCCCTATCCAATATGATTATATGAATCTTATAAACAATGATAGATTTTACAACCTATTCAAAAAATTCTTAAAACAAAGACAAATAAGAAATCTCTGAAAGGTAACTTTGCAATCAGTTCCAACTACTTAGAACACAAATGACTGAAGCCATAAAATAAAATAATAAATATAAATAACGGATATAAATTTAGGGATTACAGAATCAAGTCTAAGCAGTCTGGAGCAAGTCTGGAGCACAAGTCTGGAGTCTTCACGGAGTCTTGTCTTTTGCCTTGTCTAATCAAAGCATAAAATAATAAATACAAGAAATCAAAGCACAGAATTCAAAAATCCATGTCAAATTGTCAAAGATCAAAGGTTGCAGAGTTTTAGGTTACCTTCTATTTCTTCTTCTTTTCTAAAATTCTAGAAAGACCTACGCACAACCCTTGACGCACAACAAGCGCAAGGACTGTATGTAACTGGAACTGGCTGCTGGCCGGACCAGAGTTCGAATCAAGATCCGGATACTAACTAGAAGTTAAATTACCACAGATGCATATTTTCAACCGAATATGCACAATTTTGAGGTTGCCTGATCCAATGCCCTCTATAAAAGATCATTGCCTGATCCTGATACACAATCGAAAATTTTCAAGAAATTCGCAACCCTGGTCAGCTGATGACTGCCAAAAAGTGACAAGTGAAGTGACAACCAAGAAAAATTGAAAAATATTTACAAATGTTTTGTGGCCCTACCAAACTACTAAAGATTTTGAAAACAAAACACCAAATACCTAGTTGTTTAATGGATTAAAAGTTATGCTACATTGATAAGAATATGGAGATAGATATACCTATTTTAGTCGCTATAGTTTCATCTCTCCTTATAGTAGTAATAAGTTTAATTTATTTTTTAAAGTTTGGCAACAAACCTAAAGGTAAGTAAAGTTTTGTTTCCATATGTTTTAAAACATGTTAAAAAAACATTCTTAGGGCTCTGCTTAGGGTGAACCTGGGGTAACTGTTCACCTAGCCGGACTGTTAGCCGGAGAACTGGCGACATATTTAGAGAACATATTTTAGGCAAGTTAAAATAACAAAAAAATTAAAGTTTATTAACTGGCGAACCCAGAATCCTAAGTCGGGCTGGGGGTTTGAGGGGTATTTTGCTACTGCGCAACCCCTTATATGTGCAAAAAAATAAATTCCAAAAATATCCTTTAGGCAACTTGAAATCTGTTTATTCTTAAATTTTAGCATCTATTTAATCCAGAAATAAGTATGCCATACTTTTTTTTCGGGTTTAAAGTGACGACCATCCCAAATATGTTTAATTATTATACCTCGAAAATATACTTTAGGCATTCTAAATTTTTTACAGCGTGTTTATTAGATAATATTAAAACATATGTGTTAATTGGCAGACGAATTCAACAGGTTTTAATACTTGCCTGACGCGAATAAAGATTTTAAATGAGCGCGACAAAAAAGTCTTATGAGTATATGGAAAGATAGTTTATTGAGACTCGTTGGTAGCACACGCGGCTGACGTAACAGTATTTTACCCTGTTTATTTTTTACTTTTACACTGTTTATATGCTATCATCTGTTTCATCAAAGTCGAGTTTAAAAAAAACAATATTTTCGTCATACTTACAATATTAACATTCATAATCAATTATCTGATAATTGAAGCATTCCCTCGAATAAGGGTTTATGTTGCATTTTTCAGATATTGGGATTTTTGCACAAAAAGGGTCTGTGTAGACAAGTTCATCCTTTTACAGTAATAAATACCCTTTGAATAAGAAGACTAAAGAAGGAGCATATCAAAAATCTTAGGTACACCGCGATGGGCCTCAAATATGGCCGACTTAAATTCCGGTTTATCAGTGTCGTTCTAATTTTATTTAAAAAATGTAAAACTATGATGTAGGGTAGACGTGGGGTAGACTCAATAATTTGTTGTTTTATTTTAAGTTGTGAATAAATGTTGGTAGTTATTAAAATTGTTATAAAAATATATAATTCTAATAAAAATAGATAAGTTATAATAAGTATTTATTAACACAAACATCCGATACGCTACTGAAGCAGGTAAGTCAAATTAACGTATCTAAATTCTTTGACATCTAATCTTTGACAAGTAATAAATAAAAGCTAAAATGCAAGAAAAATATATAATTTAGTTAATTTAAGTGAATTTCATAAATGATCGGTTTACTACACGTATGTATATTATATAGTCACTTACTAGCGAAAAGTTGTTCCATTATTTCACTCAATTTTTGCCGAGATCTACCGCACGCTACACAACCAACTATTTTAGAGTCTTTTTCGATAAATCGCGATAGTGTCACTGTTAATTTAAGTTCTGCCACAATTTCCATCTAGATTTACTACCTTTATACAAGTGTCAGTAGTAGAATAAATAATAAATAACATAAAATAAGCTCCGTAAAGACTGACAAATCCACAAAATTTCAAATCAAATTCAAATGTGTCAAATGAATCGTCAAACAGAACTGTCAAGGATCCCCACCCTAGAGAGCTTTTATGGTGGCTTTTCCGCCCACCATGCATGAATACATGGATAGCATTATGCTCCTTCCTTAGTCTTCTTATTCAAAGTAAATACCCGATAATGTGCCGTCATCTATGAACAACATGCAGCACCATCTTTTCTAGCATGGAATAAGGGTATATGTTGTCACATTTTATTCAATATCGTAAATATGTCGAACGTTCAAGTCACGCCGTCGCTTTCCAAAATATTAAATAAAGGTCGAAAACGAAAAATAAATGTAACTGAATGGAGGTGTATTAAAAACAAACGGTTAAGAAATTTACAACTTGTACACAAAAAAAATGCAATCTAAATTGATTGCCTGCAATAAGGGTTTATGTTACATTTCACATAAACCCTATTCCCGGGACTCAAGAGTTTATTACATACCTATATCTCTAATACTGGTTTATTATTATTTGTGTTGTACAACTTTCTATATCTGGGGATTAATAAAGTTGATGTTGAACCACTTGAATATAATTATTAATACGCAAACCGTAGAAAATCGTTTTTCTTCATTTACTTAAAATTTACTTTTGTAACATAGCCCCTTATTTGAGGGAAGCCTTCAATTTTAATTGTTACTTTAGAAATTATAGTCAAATTATTGATTCACAAAAAAAATCAAATTTAAATCAATAGTAAACTAAAATTTAAACAAATATTTTTTTTTGTTACAGTTAACTTTTTTAATATGTTAAAAAAGTATTACAGAAAATGTGTCAATTGTGGCAATAATGTATAATAAAAGACTGACAAAACAGAAAACACAGAAGTCAGATAAGTAAAAAAAGGATCGCCTAAAATACAGATCGTTGTTTTCCACACTTCCAGTTTTTTTTTTCTAAAAACTTATAAAATAAACTCTTATAAAATAAGCATTTTCTATATTATTTTTGAAGATAAATGAAAATGTTGATGGTTTAGGAAGTGTATTTGAGGATTTCAATGTCTGTTTCTTCATAACAACTGAAAAATTCCTGTAGCACTGTGTATGGTACCCTTTTGCCGGGGATACATTTTCTGGTAAAACCACTTCCTTGAATTTTAGACCATATTGTTGGCACACTTTTAAAAATTGTTTGCATTTTTCTAGTCTGCCTTCAGAAATAATCACTTTATCACTAGTGTATTTTTTACAAACTACACAACTTAAATGTTTTTCATCCATTGTGATTTATTAGTAGGTACATATCCTTGAAATTAATAGTTACTAAAATATTTATTTGCGGTAATATTTTTCTAAACTATTCTAAACTATTTACACTAGGCACATCAATATTTAGTTTATAAATAATAAAAAATCATAATAAACAATCTCTGAATTAAAAGCCTGCAAATAATTGAAATGAAAACGGAAAAAAAATTGTGTTTATAAAAATTTTAAGTACTTCAAAATACTGTTACGTCAGCCGCGTCTCGCCGACGAGTCTCAATAAACTATCGTTCTCGCGCTTATAGATACTCATGAGACTTTCTTATCGCGCTCATTTAAAATCTTTATTCGCGTCAGGCAAGTATTAAAACCCGTTGAATTCATCTGGCAATTAACACATATTTTTTGTCTAAAGTATGTCTAAAGTATATTTTCTCTTTCTTCTAAATGTCTAAAGTATATTTTCTAGGTATAATTATTAAACATATTTGCGATGATCGGGTTATACCGTATGATCGAAAAAAAATGGCGTCCAGTTGGCTTGGAAATGACGATCGATGACATTTACCATATAATTTTACATATAAAATGACAGCGATCTTCATTTCATAGCCATCGCTGACGCCGTTTTTATTCGATCATACGGTACTTTAAATCCGAAAAAAAAGTCTGGCATACTTATTTCTGAATTAAATAGAAAATAGATGCTAAAATTTGAGAATAAACAAATTTCAAGTTGCCAAGGATGTTTTATGGATTTATTTTTTTGCAAATGTCATGGGTTGCGCAGTAGCGAAATACCCGCAACCCCTCTGCCCAACTTAGGATTCTCGGTTCACCAGTTAATAAACTATACATTTTTAGTTATTCTAGCTTGCCTAAAATAGTATGTTCTCTAAATATGTCGTCAGCTCTTAGGCTAAGTGGATCGGCTATATGGCGACACTGTGATGTTTTAGAACATTTATACTTATATTTACATTCATAGCAATAAAAAAATTTATACTAGGAAATACCGTATGATCGAATAAAAACGGCGTCAGCGATGGCTATGAAATGAAGATCGCTGTCATTTTATATGTAAAATTATATTGGAAATGTCATCGATCGTCATATCCAAGCCAACTAGACGCCATTTTTTTTCGATCGTACGGTATAATAATTTATATATTTATTTATTTCTGTTTACATAATTCATTTTTCTAAACAAATTTCAATTCTCCATGTTAATGAATTTTTCATCAGGTTCACTTAAAATAAATATAAATAAAACATGTACCTACTTGAATTTGCTTTTCGCAAATTAAACATCTAAATTATTGATGCACCTCTTCTATGCATAAAAATTATAATTTTTAAATACAAAAAAGTTTATTGTATTTCTCAATTTCCATCCAGTCGAAGCAGAAACGAGTTCAATACAACCGCATCAGATTTTTAGCGATTTGACCCTAAAGTACTTTTTAATTTTTAATATGCTTCCAAATTGTGCAAAATTATTTAAAATATATTATTAATCATTATTTTTTTATATTGTATGTTTAACTTGTCATGAATTTTATTTATATTTTTTATATGTTTTGGCATAAACACTGGACTAGGGTTTCCGTACAGTTTTTGGAAATTCTGGATATGTGAGTTCTGAAATCCGGACAACATCTAGACTTTGTTGAAACATAAATTATTGATTTATTTAGCTATGTAAAGTATATTTAACAAGAGAATACCTGACAATGAGCGGTGTTGTTTTTTATTTTAATTCACAGATAAATTGTATTTTTTGTCATTGTTGTTGACGATATTGTTTCCCGAGTCGTTGGACAGACGGAGAGACTTTAAAAGGGAAATTAAAGACAGTTTTTGACAAAAAAAAGTGTTAAGTATACTCTTTTGCCTTTGTTAGCACGACTAAGATTTGTACTGCATACATTACAAATGACGTTAGACTTGGATTATCCCTTTTTAATAGAAAAGAAAACTTTGAGCATTTATTTAGTTTCGCACATGATAAATTTTACACATTTTGGCATTACTAAAAATTTAATTTATTTTTTCAGTTATTTTATTTTATTTTTTATTTTAAACTACTCCTTACAAACACCAAAAGAATAGTTGTTACAGGTAAGGGACTTAAATCTAAATAAATTAACTTAACAAAACTAAAACTACTGTACATAAAATGAATGCAATAAATAAAAAAAAAATAGTTGAATTGAAACTAAAATATACAAAGTAAAAAAACAAAAATGTGCAGGTATAATATCACTTCACTGTGGTGAAGGAGGTATGATTTAGGATCTTATTTATTTCTTTTACATTTGTATGGAAAATATCTATATTAAACTGACTTAACACTGCATTACATTCGTCCAGGATGTGGCACATATAAGAACTGACCGTATATATATTAAATGTTTTATTTGAATTTGTTGTGCGACGTAGGCTGATTTTTGGGACATGAAATTTGATATTATTTATTAGATCTGAATTATTGAGTTTATAATTATTTATTATGTTATATAATATTATTAAACATTGTACGATTCTTCGGGCGTGTAGATCCTGGAAGTTGAATGAGCTTAACATGTTTTTATATGATACCAGCAGAGGGAAAACTGGATAAACACCATTTTGTTTAAAATATAGATATCTTAGAAATTTTTTTTGGATTTTCTCAATCAGATCGCGATTGCATTCCGCTGTAGGAGTCCATATAATTGATGCATATTCTAAGTGAGGCCTGACTAAGCAATTGTACAGTTTAGACAACGTACTAATTTGTTTGAAATGCTTAGAGTTTCTAATGAGAAAACCCAGCATTTGATATGCTTTATTAACCATGTTTCGATAGTGTAGATTAAACCTTAAGTTAGATTCAAACGTTATACCCAGATCTTTGATAGCCCTACTTTCAGTCAGAGTTTCACTATGTATACGATATTCAAAATTTATCCTGGTTGATTTACGTGTAAAGCTCACAAATGAACATTTTTCGATGTTAAGAAACATTTTATTGTTTGTAAACCAAGTCATAACATTTGTCAAATCACTCTGAAGATCAATACAGTCACTCTCGGAGGCAACATTTTTGTAAATCTTGAAATCGTCCGCAAACAAAAGACACTCGGAGTGCATTATGCATTCCGGAAGATCATTCACAAAAAGAATAAACAGCAATGGCGAAATGTTGCTCCCTTGTGGAACTCCTGAAGTGACAGTAAATGCGTCAGATGTTTCGTTGCCTATTCTAACAGTACAGGTTCGATCTGTCAGATAGCTTTTGAGCAGCTCGAAAGCTTTTTTGGAAAGACCAAAATGTATAAGTTTGTTAAGTAGTAGTTTGTGGCTTACTTTGTCGAATGCTTTTTCAGCATCGGTATAGATGACATCTAATTGCTGCTTATTATCAATCGCAAGGGATGCTGAATTTGTGAAAACGCTTAAATTAGAAATAGTTGATCTATCTTTAAGGAATCCATGCTGTTCTTTCACAATGTGTTCATTGATTAAAAGTTGCAAATTCTCATGCAGTATGATTTCAAAAACTTTAGCAAGTGGACTAAGTAGATTAATAGGTCTGTAATTTTGAATTTTATCAATTCCGCCTTTTTTGTAAATTGGAACCACTATTGATTTTTTTAATGTATCGGGAAATACTCCCGTATTAAGAGCGCAATTGAATAAATGAGTCAAAGGCTTTGCTAGTATTTCGGCACATCCTTTAAAAATATAAGAAGGGATATTGTCAGTGCTAACGGACTTTTTCGATTTTAATTTCTTTATAGCTGCTAGAGTCATGTCATTTGTTATTTCAACGAAGTCAAAATTGCCCCAGAAATCACCGAAATCCGAATAGACATCGATTTCAGACGGTTCATAAACTCCTTTAAAGTAGTTTGCAAAAGCGTTAGCAATATCCAGACTTCCCTCGTAGGATGTATCGT